TGGCAGTAAAGTGTGATGTTTGCTTGTTTGCTTGTTTCCTTGTGATTGTAGGGAGTTTCTACCACTCTGTTCAGTTTTTGTTTTAGTTTTTAACCATGTGGGGTTTGTTTTGTTATGCCTACCTTTCTGGGTGCCTAACCCCGGTCGATAGCAGATAAGGAAAACCCCAACCACAAGGGGTTTTCCAGGGCCATTGCTCCCTGAAACCTCTCTGAAGGGGCCAGGTTCTGGCGCTGGTCCCTGGTAGGTCTGAACTCCTTAGCTAATGTCCCGGTCTAATATAACATACATTAGCCCGATAAGCTCCAGGGAGCCTCCGGGGCTCACCCAGAAAATGGCGTTTCATTACATTCAACGCTGGTTTTTTTTTTTAATATTTTTTTTGTTGCGCCTAGTGGTGTTGCAGGCCAAAAAACCCTTAGCGCTTTTTAGGATTAACAAGTAGATTAGCTAACTAACCAATATAATTAATTGTTATCAATCCATGATTTATGGTTGTATAGGGTAACACCCAGCAGAAGATGAAATTAACCATTCAGTCCGCTTCATACACTCCACTCTTTTATATGAATCAAAATTAACAAATTGCCTGCTGGGAAATTCCCTACAGCTATCCGGTCACAGAGAGGAACTCTGATGTATATCGTATCTGAGTTCTATCATCTTGTAAGATGTTGTTGCCTGCTGTACATCTGCTGGCTGTGCTCTTTCTGCTGCATAAATATGGTCTTCCTGGCAGTACTGAGACAGTGACACCAGATGAAGTCTTGCTTGATGAATGAACAATTTCATTTCGTTGAAGTGGGTTGGGTGTGGTGGCAGAACCCTCAGGTCCCGGCTCCAGCTCTTGGGTCCCATCCACTTACAGGTGTTTCTTCTGCTACACCTAGTAAGGCATACTAGGCCTTAACCACTGCACTGCACTGTGCCAAATAACAAATGCTGTTTTGAGAGTTGTCATTTTCTTTTTAATTAGGCTATATAATATTTTACAGTATTTTAATGTTTTTAATGTTTTCATCTCTCTTTGTGTTTTGAAATGAAAATAGTTGAGTTTGGAAACATTTTGACATTAACTTTAACTGAACATTTATAAAAACAAGGAAAATATGTCCTCAACAATTGCACTATGAAGTTTTTGTCAAGAAAAGGTGCACAGTGCAGGTGGTAATGACTTTCCTCATTATCCCATCATGCACATGACTGTAAGCCCAACATGCAAATCATGCATCTGCATTGGCATATCATGCACATTCAAGAGGGAATGTGCTATTCTTATGTCGCCACTAAGTTTCAAATCTTGTTGCTCGCCGTAAAAACAGCACGTTCCCTCTTGACTGTGCATGACACGCCAATGCGGATGCACGATTTGCATCTTACTCCCTCTCTAACAAATTAAAAAGCTGTTGTTCGTATGTCTCATTCAAAAGTAAAACCAAAAAGAACCTAATTTCATCCTCATAGTTTTCTACCTAGTGCTTCAAACTCGCTCTGTATATTGTGCTACCCACTCCCCCAATATACAGTGGCGCCTCGATTAACGAGTTTAATCCATTCCGGCACCGAGCTCGTCATGTGTAAAACTCGTCTTGTGAAACAACAACAAAACTGTAGTCGGAGATGTCCGAGAACCAGCAGGAACGCTCGTTTATCGACGGAAAGCTCATCAGTCAAGACATATTTTCTGCGAGTGGCTTATTCGTTACTCAAAATGCTCATAACTGGAGTCGGTCGTCACTCGAGGTTCCACTGTATGTGCCCAAGCCATACAACTTCACCATTGTAATCACTGCTATCATCTTTTTTCATGATTATTATGTTGAATGCCAATTTTACTACAATGTATAGTACTGTACCTAGAAATAATTCTCAAATTATGCTACAATGGACCTGTTGATAATCCTCAAAGTTTACTATACTGTACCTACTAATTTTCTTCAAATTTTCTTACAATGTTCCTGTTGACATTTCTCAATTTTGCTACAAATTACCTACTTAAAATTATCTGTTATCTGGACCTGTTCAAAACGCTATGCATGTTAATTGCTTTACAAGAATTAAAAAACTTCAATGCTATATATTCTCAAAAACCCAATTTACCTACTTGAATATATATAAATAAATAAAATAATTAATTGTCACTTAATGAGTACGTTAGCTTCAGGGATCCCCCGGGGCTCACCCAGAAGTATGGCGTATCATTACATTCAGCGCAGGTGTTTTTATAGCTCTGCACTTAATCTTTTCCAGTACAGTTGTTGTATTTGCCATCTTATTCAGCTTTTCTCTTCTCTAATTCATTGTATTACTATTTACACTCCTATGGATCTACACATTAACCCACTATACAGTAGAACCTCGAGTGACGAGCTTTTCAATTTATGAGCATATTGAATAACGAGCTCGCCGATCACCAACAATTTGTCTCGATTGGCGAGTGCTCGTTTGATTAACGAGAAAACGACATGGTGCGTTCCTGCTGCTTCTCGCACATTCACAGACGCCTCGACGATGCAAATAAATTTTTTTTGTTTAAAGATGTTAATGATGCTGGGATGTAAAGGTGGGTGACTGCTGTGATGTTGCAAAGCATTGACTTTTTTTTGTAGAATAAAAAAATGAACAAATTTGAAAAAAAACAAATGTTAGAAAGGTTCGTTCGGTGTTTGTCAGGTAAGTTGCTCCATGTTTCTTAAAAAAAAAAAAAAAATGAAAAAGAACAAATATCAAAAGGTTCGTTCGGTGTTTGTCAGGTAGGCTGCTCCATGTTTCTTAACCAGTTAACTGCGCCAACCGAGTATTCTCGGTCGGTGGGAAACTTCGCCAACCGAGAAAACTTTTTTATTTTTTCGTACCCATTCTATATGTGTGCGAGGTTGGTTGTGTACTAAATGGACTCTTAGGACCTCCAGTGAAACAGTGAGAGGCAGCCAACTTGGAAAAAATTCCCAGAATGCCCTAGGGCTACTGGCTGGGTTAGTACTGAGTGAGCAACCATGGGTGGCGCACGCCCCTCTGGCTCCCAAACACCTGTCAGACATGGTGTTGAAAGATCGCGCTCTGTCAGTGAAATTCAAACCTTATTGTTTGAAGAATATAAGGGGTCATAATATTGGTGAAGCTAGGCACAATAAGGACCTGGCACAGAGGTCAGATGCAAGTGATACAGCACCTATGAGGAAGATATAGCGAGCGTATCCAATTGTAACTCTGAGCCCTTACCCACCTATGCTATGCTATCTCCAATTTATTTAGATGATACATAGATGAATCGTTTTCTGCGTTCAGTGATGATGTATCTGATACAAATAGCATAGATGAACAGTGTTAGCGGCTTCCACGGTGGTGTTTTTCATAGATATTTTTAAGAATAGCTGAATCTCTTCTTGACTGACGGACACTCTTTGAGGCTCGCTGAATCTCTTCCTGTGTGGGACCTTACAAAGCGATCTTTTCACGACTACCTTACAAATTGATCTTTTCCTGTAATCTTTTCAAGACTACCTTACATTTTACAAGCTTGGCTACATATCACCTATAGATACTAATGCCAAGGGTGTACATGAGTGCGTTATTTGCAAGCACACAGAATGAAGAAACAGGAAGCGAAAATCTATCTTTACGTTCTACTGTATACATGTTGTAAAGGACAAATATGCATCATATACGATAAAAAAACAAATAAAACCGCATAAGAAATACATAGAACAAACAATTGAAAATATATTTATGGCAACACCCGGTGCTTGAATGGCCCGGGGAACCGTATCTGGGTGAGTCACACACGGGTGACCAGGCCCTGATAACGTCACAGCGCACCTTGTCCACGTCCCCACAACCAAAGTAAGTGGAATTTGGTATTTATTTTTACATAGACATGTTCAAGGAAGGGAATTTATCATTTTACAAAGTAAACATAATTTTTTGGAACACTTTATTTCATGCGTATGGGGAATTTCACAATAAACTCGGTGCAGCACGGTGGTTAAAAAAAAATAAAAAAAAAATGAAAAGAAATTGAAAAAGAACAAATGTCAAAAAGATTCGTTCGGTATTTGTCAGGTAGGCTACTGCATGTTTCTTAAAAAAAAAAATAACAAAAATAAAAAAAAATTGAACAAATTTAAAAAAAATGGACAAATACCACAAAGGTTTGTTCAGTGTTTGTCAGGTAGGCTGCTCCACTATTAATAAGTAAATGAAAAATACAAAACAAATTGAACACATTTGAAACAAAGAAAGATTGTCATAATGGAGCATCCTGCCTGACAAATACTGAACGAACCTTTATGGCAATTGTCCGTTTTTCATATTTTTTCAAGTTTTATTTTTTTTTTTTTTTTTTTTTTGTAAGAAACATGGAGCAGCCTACCTGACAAACTATGAACTATAAAAACATTGCTATAACATTGCTATAAAACATTGACTATAGAACATTGCTATAGCACATTGCTATAAAAAAAAAAATTGAACAAATTTGAAAAATGGACAAATGTCATAATGGTTCGTTCAGAGTATGCCAGGTTGGATGCACCATTATTTAAAAAATTGAATATCATATTGATGTTTTTCGGTGGTGGAATGGATTATTTTTATTTCCAATATGTTAAATGGGGAAATTCGTTTTGAAAGACGAGCATTTCACATGACGAGCACGGCGCTGGAACGCATTAAATTCGTTATTCGAGGTACCACTGTATTTCTTTTATAGTTAAGTACTGTACTGTAATTATTAGAAGAAAGCATGCAAACTTGTCTGTTGGACCCTAATGTATCAGGTAATGATTGACTAAAAATTGATATACATGTACTGTACTGTAAATATAAGTTGTTTTATGCAGAGAATTTTAAATATACAGTATAAAAACAATTTAGGCATAAATGGTTACAGTAATACTGTACAGTACTATATACAGTACAGGTATATCAAATTACTGTCATGAAAATTTTTAGAGGGGATATTCTGAAAGAGATATTGAAGTAAGTCATTTTGCTTCCAGGTTTTGGGATTGGGGCCAACCTTTAAGCTTCGAGTTGAGCTACAGAATACTTCATCGACATCCCCATCTTTACAACTGGCTGTTATATTCCACTGTGATGATCGTATCTACAATGTTAACAAATCTTATATTCAGGTATTGAGTGCTTTTCTGTGAGGAGCCCTTTCGGCTCCCCGGAGCTATTGGGCTAATGTGTGATATATTACACCGGGGCATTAGTCTATGGAGTTTGACCTACTCGGGACCACGAGCCAGAACCTGGCCCCCTCAGAAAGGTTGCAGGGAGCAATGGCCCTGGAAAAAAACCCTGTGGTTGGAGGTTTTCGTTATCTCCCATCGACCAGAGTTAGGCATCCAGAAAGGTAGGCATAACAAAACAAACCCCACATGGTAAGAAAAGCATAAAGAAAAACTGAACAGAGAGGCAGAACTCCTTCCAATCCCAAGGAAACAAGCAAACAAGCAAACGTCACACTGCACTGCTGCGCCGCTCGTCTGCGCAGCCCTCCCATTCCCGCACCGGCTACCCACACTCTAGTTCATTAACTAATGTGGTACGGGGGTGGATGTCTTCTCTGGCCTCAATTTCCATAGATGGGGTTGCCTTCATGGCAACTGCAATGTTGTTGTGTGTGGTGGCCAGGTGTCCTCATCAGAGCCGGGTCTGCATGCACCTAAAGGCATCCTTCCCTAGGCATCCTGTAAGTACCTCCCTTGTGTGTTAGGGTTTCCTTCCCTGGTGCATTCGGGAAACCATTTCTGTAGGTTTTTTTTTGCTGCTCAGCATTTATCCTGCCCCTGGGGCCAGCTGGGGTTTTGTGGCTCTTGTTTGGCCTTGCATAGGGAATGGTATTGTGCTGGTTGGGGAGTCAAGGTGTTGTGCAGCCTGCCTACCTATGCGGCGGTCAGTTCCTGTTTCCTTTGGGAACGTTGTACTTTTGGGGGGTTTTCTTTTGTTTTCTGTGGAAAGCCCCTTCGGCTCCCCGGAGCTATACCGAGCTGATTGTATATATTAGACCGTGGCAACAGTCAGTCGAAGGAGTTTTAAGCCTACAGTGAACCAGAGCCAGAACCTGGCCCCCTCAAGAGAAGCTCGAGGAGCAATGGCCTAAAGACACCCCCATGTAATTGGAAGCAGTCTTTGTCTGCCATCTACCAGGTCAGGCACCCAGAAAGGTAGAAATTTCAAAACAAACTACTGCTGGTCAAAAATTGCAAACAGAAAGCCGAACTAGCAAACAGAACTCCGTAATGAAAAACAAGGAAACAAACATGACATCACCACAACTGCCACGCCACATCCGTCTGCGCAACCTCCCCCTCCTCCCCGGCAGGGGGATGGCGGGGGTCCCAGACCTCCACGCGAGCAACTCTCCTCAGTTCAAGAGGCTGTTGTGTTGGTGACAGTCGATCACTCTGGCTCTACTCTTTGCGCAGTGTGGTGTTGTTGCTCTGTTTTGGTGGTGTGTGTGAGCCAGAAGTAACACAAGAGTACTGGGGCTGCATGCACCTAAGGCTACCTTCCCTAGGTGCCTCGTAAGTACTGCCTTTGTGGCCTCAGGGTTATCTTCCATGAGCCGATCATGAGCAGCTACTTCGGTGTGGTTCTGTTGCTGCTCGGTGAGAGCCTGCCCTTGGGGGTTCAGCTGGGGAGGTTCTTACTCCTGTTTGCCCTTGGGTAGGAGGTAGTTTCGTCGCTGGCTGGGGCGAAGGGTACTGTGCAGCTGTCTGATATACGCATAGCGTCTGGTTCTGTTCACCTGGAGACATTGTGTTTTTGCAGGGTTTTTCTTATGATTTGCCTGGTGGGGGTCTGTCTGGTGTGGCGGTAGGACCACTACCACCAGGCAGGATTATTTTGGTGGCCCTCCACTAGGTCCCCATGCTTACACACGTCGCAGGGGTTCAGCTATTAGTTTGCTTTGTAGCTCTGGGATAACTGGTTAGCAGTACCTCGCCTAGGCTTCCCTTAGCAGTCTGCCTAAGGGTCCTGGAAACCCCCCTTTGGGGCTCAGTTGTCCGATGTAAGAGACTTCCAAGTCCCACCTCGCCATGTGCGAGTTTGAAGGTTGCTCTGTCCCCTTGTCTCAGGGTGACACTCACCATCTGCCTCCGCCTTGCTACCTGTTGGGGTCAGTGTCACCTATGACCTGGAGTCCTACTACGAGTGGTGTTCTTTGCTTGTACCCCATTCACCCAGTCCACTGAGACTGATATTTGGGTGCAGGCAGCTTTAGCGTTACATGCGAGATTTAGGTTGCAGCAACGTGCAAGATTGGTTGTCTTTCTGGATGTCCCGCAGCTGCCCGGCTGAATTATACTGGTAGTGAGACTCGGGCGGCTTCGGGGATTGCCCCCTTCCAGATTGGCGGCGGAGGCATTCGAGCCTGGTCCTCCTGCCAGAGCTTTTGGGCCATGCCAGCAGGCCCCATTCATCTCTACGTTTCCGGTGGACTCTGATTTTTCTCCAAAGGCAGAGGGTTTGGAGGACAGCTCAACTCCTGGTCCGTACATGGAGGATTCCAGGGCGGGGGAGGAGTTGACTTGGGGGTGCCTGGGCCCCACTTATCCCTGCTTGGGTGTTTAGTACCCCTCAGCACGTGGCTTGTTGTTACAGGGGGAGGGGTTTTTCTATACCCCTCCCTGTACGATTTTGTTTTGAATTCGACTCCTCCCCGGGTTCGGTTCCGAGTTCCCTTGGGTTCTTCGGTTCTCTCCTTCTGGAGGTTTTTGACTGCCTGCATCCCACCAAGGAAGGTGTGGGAGGCCCTTGCAGTTTACTTCCTGCATCCCACCAAGGAAGGTGTGGGAGGCCCTTGCAGCTTACTTCCTGCGAGTCCCGGATTACGCCTCAATAATGAAGATGCCTTCTTTTGAGTTTGGCTCTTCTTTTCCAGATTGGGTATGTTACAAGGTGCCAGAGTCTTCCTGGCTGGCAGACTGCCTTTTTTTTTCATTGCGGGCTTGGCTTTTGTCCTGTCGGATTGTGCACTTGAATGGCAAGAGTTGACTACGGTCATTCATGTTTTCCTGGGGGGGCGAGTTGGAGCACCTCGATGCGTGCTTGTTCGCCCCCCGTCCTTCCTTATGATGTCAGCCAGGTGCGGCTTCACGTGCAGGTTCCCCCCCTTTCGGCATCCCTGGTGGCCGAGGATTTGCTCAACCGTGGGCATTTGGCTTCAGTCTTGCAGTTCTTTTCCCTGCTGGAGCTGTCTTCGGAGTGGCTCGTGGTGGGTGTGGAGGAGCTGGGTTCTGGACCAGTGTCTGATGTAATTGCTTTGGTAGCTTGGGCACCGGCTGCTTTGTTGAAGTTGTATGCGTCGTTTCTTAAGGAGGTGGTGTCTGTTCTTCGCTTCTCGTCTTACGTGCTAACAGGAGGTGCTTGTCCAATTTTTGGAATCATCTTGGGCCATGGCTCTTAGATTTTCATCCCCTTTTCTGGGGGGAGCCCCTTTGGCTCCCCGTAGCTATCCAGGCTGAATGGATATGTATAACTTTCTGGCATCAGTCAAAGTGCATGGAGTTCTTGCCTACCGGGGACCATGAGCCAGATCCCAAGATCTGGCTCATGCCCCCCCTCTCAGAGAGGCACGAGGAGCAATGACCAATAGAAACCCCCCTTGTGGTTGGGAGCATTCTATGTCTGCCATCGACTGGGACAGGCACCCAGAAAGGTAGGTGCCCAAAAACAAACCCCTATTCTGGTGAAAATATTGCTACCAAAAGCCGAACGAGTGGACAGAACTCCCAAAACAAAAATAGCAAACTAGCATGATGTCATCACATCACCGCGCCGCCATCTGCGCAACCCCCCCCCCCCCCCCCCAGGATGGGGAAGGGGGAGCTCCAGACCCTCCGCACTGGCGATCCAACCAGCAGTTCTTGGCTGATGGGTGTCTGGTGTAGTCACGTGCCTCTGGCTCCAGAATTCTTTGTCTCAGTCCTGTGTCTGTGCACTCCTGAATAGCCAGGAGTAATATTCTGAGGTACTCGGGCTGCATGTGCCTAGGGCTACCTTCCCTAGATGCCCTGTAAGTACTGCCCCTGGGGCTTGGGGCCACCTTCCACAAGTCACCTTGGGTTCTGCCTCCGTGGTGCCTTTTACTGCTCAGTACTTGGCCGCCCTTGGGGTCTGCTGGGGGTTTTCTTGCCCTTGTGTCCCTGGGTAGGAGGTAATTATTGTCACTGGTAGGGGCGCAGGGTACTGCACAGCTAGTCTTCTAACATTATAACAGCCGGCTCTGTTCCGTCTGGGTACGTTGTCCTCTTACGGGGTTTTTCTTTTGTTTTGCTTTTCTGCCTGGTGGAAAGGTCTCCCTTCTTCCCTTTGCTGGTCGGGTTCTGTGTGTTCTTTTGTTTTGGTGGTGTCTCCCGCTAGGCCCCCATGAGTGGACACGTCCCGGGAGTTCAGCTTTTAGAGGTTTGTTTGGTAGACTTGGGCGCCGGTTCACAGTACCCTGCCTGGGCTTTCCTTAGCATGACACCATGGCTAAGGGCCCTGGGAAACCCCACGGGGGCTACGTGGTTTGATGGTTGTGACCCCTGAGTTCACCTTTGTGTCTTGCAAGGTTGAAGGTTGCTCTGTCCCCTTGTCTCTGGGTGACACTCACCAGTTCTGTCTCCGCCATGCTGCCTGTTGGGTCGGGGATTCCTTAACCCAGAGTCATGTGACGTTTGTCGTCTGTTTGTACTCCAGTTCACTCCCAGGCCTCTGATACTGTTATGAGGGTGCAGGCAGCAGTCGCATTGCAGGCTAGGTTTAGGTTGCTGCTACGCGCTTGGTTCATTGCAGCCCCGAATGCCCCGAGACTGCCCCGTTTTGGTTGTTGGAGTCCCTTGGGGGTGGGAGTCACTTCGTCTCTGGTTCCATCTGCTTCTCCTGGTTCTTCCCCCTCGGTTGTTCATACAGTGGTACCTCGGAACGCGAGTGTCCCTGTATGCGAGTTTTTCGGAATACGAGCCGGATTTCCTTGGAAAATGTGTCTTGGAAGGCGAGGGTTACCTCAGAACGCGAGTTTGTTGATACGCGTTCAGGCCGACCTAGCACGTGGTGGTACGGCGATCGTCGCCCCTCCGCCCCTCAGTTTACCATTGTCTCCTGCCCAGTGACTATCCCTCCTGAATTCTTCACAAGG